CTAAAAATAGAGTATGTGGCACCGCTAGGTCTAGATTCTCTTATATGTTCTACCAAATCCTTCATCCAAGAAACCTATATGATCAAGTGATGTTTTTTTTTGCGAATTTGGAAGCAATATATCGAGTATTTTAAACTAATTTTGAGGTGTCTAATTTTATGAATTCCAAAGGCAATTGCCAAGGTATCTACTATAACTTTCGAAGACAATTGTCGAGGTTTCTGATTCTATGATGTTCAATTAGTTATTGGGTTTTCTGTCAATCAACATTTTGTGTAAATCATATACCGGAATAGATAACAATTACAATATGTGTGATAAAGAAATGGTGGAACATAAAACACAATGTGTTTTTGTCAAATTACCATGGTTTCTGTTTCATGAATGTAATTAATTTTGTTATGATTTTGGTATTGCCACAACTTGTATTTTGATTTATGTGATTTACTCTATGATTAGGTTTACAGAAAGGTAAAATGATAATTTTCCACATAGAATATATATATATATATATATATATATATATATATATATATATATATATATATATATATATTCAACAACCTTAGTAAACAATATGCTTATGTTAAGCGTTGAATTTATTAAGATATCAGAGAGTAGGAAATCTATTCAACATGTATACATGCGCGCGCACACACACAATTATATATATATATATGGATGAACATGTTTTATGTGGAGGTAGGAACCAATCAGATTTTAAGAAAAAATATATTATTAATTAATGAAACAAAGGTATAATGGTAATCTTTATTATAATTAGTTATGGTAAAAATATAAAATTAATTAAAATCCCTTATTTTAAGGGATCAGTTTCACCCTATAAGAGTACACATTGATTCTGTTTTTCACAATTCTAATCTCTTACGACGATCGATCCTAACCTACCCAAGATCATAGATGACATGAGCATCGTAGGGAAAGACTTGGAATCGGAAATCAGAGTTAAGAATCGACTCTCCAGGGCTTGTTCGATAAACATGATTCTTGTGTTTTCTTGATAATCGTGAAGCGGTGTTAGGACCAGTTGTTTGATTTGCGAAGCCTTGTAAGTTTATGATTCCTTTGGTTGAGATTCATAAATAAGGATTCTATTACCCTAATTCTTTTGTAAGGTGTTACCAATCTCAATCAAGTTCGTTTTTGTTGTTATTTTTTGTATTTAAAATCTTTACTTTGATCACACTAGCAACTGAACTGAACTGGTGGAATCAAATGGCAAGTATTTCTTTTTCCCTCTTTTTCTTTTGCGTTGTTCTATAATTTCAATTCCCAGAAATACAAATTGATAGCTACGGATTTGATTTTAATTTTAATTTGTTAAATTCGAAATTTTTTGCAGGCATTAAAAAAAAGTTTAAGAGGAAAGCATGCCACGTATGTCTCCTCTTGCCTTCTCCATCCTCCGCCTTGTTATGTTTTTTTACTTATCAGTTTGGTTTTTCCATCTACAACTGTAAAATTTCTATACACTAATGTTTCACTTGACCTTTCTCCATTTTCTTCTTGTTCAAAGCTTCAAAGGCATGTTGTAATTGTGTAGGGTTTTGTATATTTTCAAAAGAGTCCACAGATGTTGCGGTTTAAATTTCTTCTTGGGTTTAGCAAATTTTTGCCATAAATTCTAACTTTTTGTTGTTGTTGGATTGTTCATGGGGATCCAAGTTGATTGGGTTCGAATTATTTTTTTAGGTAGAAGAGAAGAACATTAATCCAAGGACGAAGGGAGGATGTGCGGTGTCATTGGAGAAGTAGAATGTTGAATCCCGTACACCATGTTCATAATATGAGGTAACATCTTTTTTTTTTCTAAACTTAAAAGGTGCCAATTTGGTAAATTTAGTGGATTAATTAGATACGAGGTTAATAAAATTTCAATTTGATCAAATTAAGTTCATAATTGTTTTTGTTTGATATTATATGGATTTCCGAAAAGCACCATTGATCGTGTGGATACGGTAGTATTTTATAGGTTTAATTTGTTATTATGTATCTATTTTTCATATATACTTTTGCATTTTGGACTTGTAGCTTATGTGTCTTTTTCAAACTCTTTAAATTCATTTACCAAATACTATTACTTTTTTTCTCCATCTCTCTATGAAATGTGCCAAATTGCCAACTAAAAAAATTACTTACTTTATTTATTTTGTGTTTTATGTTTCATGTTTGTTTTGTGTTTCAATTGAAGTGTAGATACATATTCAGAATGACATCGGTACATTCTATCAACATTACATGCTTCCTTCTAGGTGCTGCATACAAAAGAAAATAAAAATATAAAGAAGGATATTTTGATATTCTTGGTGAATAAGGAAGATAAGTAACAAAAGATACTCCCACTTGCAGCTTCATGGATTCAGAGCAAAAAAAGCATTAGAATTTTATTTTATGAAAGACACTCTCACAAAATGAATTCTCATTCATTCTTAAAAAATCATCGAAGAATATTTTTTAAGATTTTTTTGATGTAATACTTTTTACATGATTTGATGATTATTCTTAGAAGAATGATATTTTTTCTTTTTTGTCATTGCATTCTTATAGAATATGCACATTGCATTATGGTAGAATACGTGTTAGAATATGTACATGTATATTAAAATATATAACTCTATTATATTGTAAGAACATGTATGGATTTGTATTATGTCCGAATTTCTTTGAACATATAAAAACGTTGGTACTCTTTGACGGTTCAAGAATGTTTATATTATTCAATATGTTCATTCTATCATAATAATATATTTTGTCAAAATATGTTATTTTTTAAGATAATTTTTATTATTCTTTAAAATGTTCATTCTTTTTAAATTAAAGAGTATAAATTATCTCTTAAATTCCAAATTTTCCTTTTTTAAATCTAACTTAATTGGTAAAAATACCCCTTTAAAGGATATTAGTATTATTATATTATACATGTTTTTCCATTGTAATATCATACACCCTAAGTCACATCTTTTCATTCTTTTCATATATTGGTCCATAACTGTTCTTACGTCCACATATTACATGTTGTCCATATTATCACCTA